GTTGTGGACTTTGTGACTTTTTCTTGCTGTCCTCAAAGTGCCATTTGGCATTTTAAAAAAATATTAAGTGTATTTGGATTAAATTTTACTACTTTTATAACCTCTGTTGAGACGCCTTGGAAATCCCCAAAGTGTCACAAAACCTGAGCTTATAGAATCACTGTCTTCAGTCTTATATCATAGTCTTTCTCTTATTATTGTAGAAAGAGTAAATTATCTGAGTACTGAGTTTGTGTGGATCCAAAGAGGCTAGTTGCTAATTATCAAACTATTTATTCAAAGCCTTAAGTAAAATATTATAATACACATAGATCCATTAGCCAGTAAATCTCAGAATTATCTATAGGAAGAACAAGTGCTTTACTGGTTTACTACTTGCCATGGGCCACAGGAAGTGGTTGGCTAAGCACTTCCCTGATTTGCAGTTTCTCTAATAATGTGAGGTGGGGGCTGCTGGTGGTACTGGGACCATTACTTAAGTAGTATTCCTTCAAGCCAATCTGGAGTTAAGCACGGAATCTTGGAAAAGGAGAACCACACCCACAGTTACTGGGTTTGGTTGTGTGGCGAGGAGATTATCTTTTTGTCCTTAAAACAACCCAGCGTAGGAATTCCCATAACAGGAGTTTACAGCTAATACAGCTTACCTCATGGGACAGAGATCACAGAGCCAGGATTCAAATGCAAACCTGCCTGATGCCAAAGCTCAGGTCTACCCAGCAACTTCCTTCAGAAGGTTGGGAGGCCACTCCATGCTTCTGCTGTGGTAGAGAACAGCCATGTGTGTGGTTCTATTTCCATTAGGATTTTTAGATATTCTGAGTTACCTAGAAATCCAGTACCTTCAAACTCCTGATGTTTTGTTAGTTTTGAGTTGTCAGACCCTTATACTCTGGAGGTGACTTGGATGGTTTGGCAACCCTGTAGAGAAAGGTGGCTGGGGAGGGTGGCCAGGAGCCGGAAGGCCCATGTCACAGCAATCAGGAAAGACCAGCAGTAGCCAGGATCAATGGCTTTGGGAAAGCAGCACTGTCTGGTATGGTAGCCATTAGCCACAGGTGGCTCTTAAGCACTTGCAATGTGGCTAGTGCATCTGAGGAATTAGGTTTCTCATTTTATTTACATTTAAACAGCCACATGAAGCTCGTGGCTACCAATACTGGACACTGTAGTTACAGAGGAAGAGATAATTTTGGGGAGGTCGCTGGGCCTCAGTTCTCTTAACCTCCATGTGAAAGGCTGGACCCTAAAATTACATTATTCTGTGATGATGAGGCATGCTGTGTCAGAGCTGACTATAGGCAATTAAAAAATGCTTTTCCCCTTAGAAGTTTTTCTGTCCTTTGGTGCGTGGGGATAAGACAAAGCTACTTTGGAAGCCCAAAAACATTCCTGTGCCATTTCCACAAAGCTCTAAGAGTACCTGACTCAAGGATTCCAAACCATCAAGCAGATGGGGAGAGAGTGGGACAAAATTAAGGGGTGAGAGGAAGGGAGCCTGGTTTCTCAAATCATTAAGTAATTTACCTTATGCCAGGACAAACTGTGACTTAACAGAGTACCTGAAAACATGTTGATGTCTAGATGGGGGGAGAAAGGACCCCAGTCCAGGGGGCTGCCTTAGTGTCTAATGCAAGACCACCTGCCCCCTGCGACTCCAGGAAGATTTTAGACAGCAACCCAGGAACCTGACAGCACTGGGGGTAAACATTCGTACCCCCAGAGTACGATACCCCAGATACCAGAGTACCACTGTTTGGATTTGAGTCTCAGCTCTGCCAGTGAGAACTCAACATATATTCGTAACCTCTCTGTGCCTCAGAGGCACTGTAAAAGGACAGCGATTACAGTATCTGCCTTCAGGTTGTTCCGATGCTGAAATACAGAGGTACCTGACACACCGTGCACACTATAAATACTGCCATCGCCGCGTGGCCGGCAAGAGGAGTGCAGTCTCATCTCCCCAACCAGCACCTCGCTCTCTTCATAGTTTAACATTTACATCTATAATCCTATCACATCTTCCAAACTACAGTGTTTGCCGATACCTAGCAAGTTGTACAATAAAGCACTCGGTTCCAACATGAATTACAATCATTATGTTGGTTGCAGATGTGAGTTAGTTAAGGGACAAAAATAAGCAGAATGTAAGTTGAGCAGCTGGGGAAAAAATGACAAGTAACAAGGGCCAGATCTATAGTGTACAAAAGCCATAGGAGAGGTTATAGGATATTTGTTCCAGAGTCTCCATATTTCTTTTTCTAAGAAGTTCAAAAAACCGTAAGCAAGAGTTTTATAATCATTTAACAAGTTACTTACCCTCTTTTCCAAATTGTCAGCTGATACTATTCTCTTCATCTGTAAACTTGTATTTTAAAAACGTCAGGAACTTTTTGTTCCCTGAAAAGATCAATGGGGGCGGGAGGAGGGGAGGGGTCTCAAAAAATAACATGCAGACAAGTGCTACTCAGTTTAATTCTAATTTACTTTTAGTGTGCAAAGGTATAGATCTGTGGTAGATTGGAGGCAGGGGACCTGGTCCATTGCCCCAGCACTGGTGCACACATAGCTTCAGGAGATGTAGTCATCTCTTCAACTGCTCAGCCGCTTACTTGACTACTTTTTTTTTTTTTTTAAAGATGGCAGGAAAGGAAATAGGGCAGGGGCCCCGACACACTGAGGCTTACATTCTGATTTTAACCACTTCAGCTACATATATCCTTTAGTAGCCTTCTCGGAGTCTGTCCTCAGTTGAAAAATGGAAATAATGCTAAAGTATATTACAGTGATTATAAGTCCAAATGAAGAGGCGTAGAAAGTGCCTAATATAGCACCTGACAGACCACCAATAAATGCTGGTTCTCCTCCCCTTTCTCCTTTTGATTACTGCCTTTCTGGAATATGGAACAAGTGTAAAGATTAGATTCGCCCAAATTATTTAAACAATAATGGTTAAGCACCCCACTCTTGATTTCTGCCAGGTCATGATATCACAGTTGTGTGTGGGTCCCTGTGGGGCTCCTTGCTGCGTATGAAGCCTGCTTAAGATTCTCTTTCCCTCTGCCCCTCCCCCACTTGTGCTCACACGTGTGTGTGTTCACACTCCCTTCAAGAAAAAATTTAATTTTTTTTTTTAATTTTTTCACCCTGTTTTTATTTATGTCTGAGAGAGAGAGAGAGAGAGACAGTGTGAGCAGGGGAGGGTCAGAGAGAGAGGGAGACACAGAATCTGAAACAGGCTCCAGGCTCTGAGCTGGCTGTCAGCCCAGAGCCCTATGCGGGGCTCGCACCCACGAACCGTGAGATCATGACCTCAGCCAAAGTCGGACACTTAACCGACTGAGCCACCCAGGTGCCCCCTTCAAGAAAAAATTTAAACAAGGGGCGCCTCTGTGGCTCAGTAGGCTGAGCAACTTTGGCTCAGGTCATGATCTCACTGTTCGAGCCCTGCATCAGGCTCTGTGCTAACAGCTCAGAGCCCAGAGCCTGTTTCAGATTCTGTGACTCCCTCTCTC